ACCAATCTTAATAAGGGTTTCATTAGCCAATTGAATATTACCACAAGTATAGGTAATGCGCCTAATGAGACCATACTTCGAGGTGATAGTTTGATCAAAGATCGCCTTATTTCTTTCCCCCACAAACACCAAGCTATCACCCCAAAATACAAAGGCCAAGTTCGATCAGTTTGAAACGGACCTTTTAATCCTAGATTTGTCTGAATCCATAGGTGAAGATCCATGGAGAAAAAGTCACTACGGTTATCAGAAGGAACCCAATGCTCCCATAATTCCCTGGCACCAGGACAATCTCTAATGGCATGTAAACTATCCTCAAGATTATAATGACATCTCAGACACCCTGCATCTGTAGCCATGTGACGATGCACTCTATGAACATTAGTTAAAAGAGAACCTCTGTAGAGAAGCCATAAGAATTGTCTAATACGTTCAGGACCAGGCCAAGCCCAAATTACCTTCCAAATCCTATCCTGATGATAATGCGAGGTACCCATGAGATAGTTATAAGCTGATTTCACTGAAAAAACCCCATCTTGGCTACCTGCCCAAATAACACGGTCCGGAGAAGGATCCACTGTAGGAGGGAGCACACTACGAATCTTGTCTAATACTGAAGTAGGAAGAAGGTGCTGAAATAAAGGCCAGTCCCAATTACCATAACAAGTTACAAATTGAGACGTAGACCAATGAGTCATAATAGGAGGAATAGGTTGAACGGCCAGAGAAACAAGTTGAGGACATCCTGGCACCCACGAATCCATCCAAAAAGACGTATGAACCCCATCCCCTAAAATGATACGAGAATTCTCTAGAGTTTGAGGCCAATACTTAACAATAGCCTTCCATAAACCAGAATCATTTGCGGAAGCCGAGATACTTGGAATGAGCCTTTCCTCCACCTTATACTTGCTACGAAGGACCCGAACCCATAACGAATTACGATCAGTCATGATTCGGTGACCTAGCTTCATGATAAAAGCCATATTATTCTCTTTAATTTTACGAAAACTAAGCCCCCCTACATTCTTCGGCAAACAGACCGTCTCCCAAGAAACCAGGTGAGCTTTCCTTCGTTCAGAAGTTGATCCCCAAATGAAATTCCTAGTTACACTCTCAATACGATCACACGTACCACTAGGAATAATACAATTTTGCATAGGATATTGAGGAATTGCAGTAAGAACTGACCTAGCCAAAGTTGATCTTCCTGCCAATGAAAGAGTACGTTGATTCCAGGCATTTAAACGAGCTTGCATCCGATTTAAGATATAGCCAAACGTACTCTTTGTAACACGGCTATGACGAAGAGGAATACCCAAGTATTTACCCAAGTCATTTGTAGGAGAGTAGCCTATCAACTGGCTTAGATTCTGCACTCGGGTATGATTAACGTTTCTGGAGAAGAAGACTTTTGTTTTTTCCTTGCTAACCTTCTCACCAGAGCACCTGCAAAAACAATCAAGAATCTTATTAATAATAACAGCTTGCCCTTCTGTGGCTTCTGTAAAGAGCAGAAGATCATCTGCAAAAAATAGATGGGAAAGCAGTGGTCCCCTTCTATTCAATCTGATAGGCTTCCAAACGTCCTCTTGAACTGCTACATTAATCAAATGAGCAAGTCTTTCCATGCAAAGGATGAAAAGATAAGGAGACAAAGGATCTCCTTGACGAAGACCTTGATTAGGAGAAAATTCTGTCGTAGTTGATCCATTCCATAACAAATTCATTGTACATGACGAGACACAACACATGATCAGAGAAATAATATTCTCAGGCAAACCAACATCCACAAGCGTGTCTTTCAGAAACTCCCAAGAAATCTTGTCATAAGCCTTTTCTAAATCAACTTTGACAGTCATCCAACCCTTATCTCCTCTCTTTTTATTCATGGAATGGATGATTTCCTGAGCCACAATGATATTATCCGCTCCTTGTCTACCCTTAATAAAACCACATTGATTAGGCATAACAAGTGAGCCATATGAAATTTCAGCCTATTAGCCACAATCTTAGTTATAGTCTTGTAAATAACATTACAAAGGCTAATAGGTCTGAAATCTTTAAGTAATTCAGGCACATCAATCTTAGGAATCAGACAAATCAAAGTTTGGTTAACCTCTTTGATATTATCCGGATGAAGGAACACACCTTTCACAAAAGAGATAACTGACTCACCCACCTTATCCCACTGAGATTGAAAGAAAAGAGCATTAAGCCCATCCTTCCCAGGCGACTTGTATGGACCAAAAGAGAAGACTACATCTCTGATCTCCTTACTGTTTGGCATAATACTCATCGTGTCTAAAGCATGCGCTTCAATAACTGGAAAAAAGCCACGAACTGGAAAAGCTGGTTTAGGTAATGGATCTTTTGTGTACAAATTTTCAAAGAAAGAAACAGCCATTTCCATTAAAACCTGTTGATCACCAACCCAAACTCCCTCAGAGTTTTTCAACGTATCTATGCGATTCCTCCTACGTCTGGCAACCGTCACAGAATGAAAGAAACGCGAGTTCCTATCTCCAAGAGCAAACCAATTCAATTTCGATCTTTGAAACCAAGTAATTTCCTCTTGAAGATAAATCTTGTCTAGTTCCCTCCATAGATCCTTTTGCAACATCTCAAGGCTATGACTGTACTGATAACTAAGACATCTATCAATACCTCCAATCCTTGCATGCAAATCATTCTTTCTTTTCAGAGCAATCCTATAAACATTTCTATGCCATTCCGAAGCATTAATCCGAAATGTCTCCATAGCATGCATCCAGTTTACATTGTTTGACCAACATCCATTAACCACCTCATGAAAAGTGCTCTCTGTTAACCAGGACGCTAGAAAACGGAAAGGACGCTCCCCTCTCGGATAAATAGCAGGTTGAACTTCCCATAATAACACTGGTCGATGATCTGAGCCAAAGAAAGGCAAGTTGAAAGCCACACGGTTAGGGAAAACCAAGTTCCAATTATCATTAGCGCAAACCCTATCAAGACGTTCCTGAAGATTTCTTCTTTGCCAAGTGAAAATAGGACCTTGATTGCCAATGTCAGACAAGCTACATTCATCTAAACAATCACGAAATTCCCTCATGCTATTCCAGTTATGCCCATTACCACCTAGCTTCTCATACTCATACAAATAAGTGTTAAAATCACCTGCTATCCCCCAAGCTGCATTCCTCATGGACTGATCAAACAGAGAAGACAGAATTTCCCACAGCTGAATACGTTCCTGTCTTCGCGGACTTGCATAAATAAAAGTCATGAACTCCTCTCTATTTTCTTTTACCCAACAAATTTTAGTATGGACAAGTTGGTGATGAGAAAAAAGAACATCCACTGAAACTTCATCAGTATTCCAAAGCACCCAAATACCGCCAGAAAAACCAACAGCATCACGATGAAAGTGACCAGAAAAACCAAGACGCCGAATAGCTCTATCCGCCATAACACCACTCAATCTAGTTTCTAACAAAGCCATAACTTTAATACTGTATCTATGAGAAAGATCCCGAATTAGAGGCGGAAAACTCCTTTTCCCAGCCCCTCTACAATTCCAGGTCAAAATATTCATAAAAACAATCTTAAATTTATCCGAACAGAAACCGGCCCTAAGAAAGAGCATTGGTATAGACCGAAGTCGCACCCAAAACGTCCCAATTATCCAAAGGGATAGAATCCTTGTGAGTTTGATAAAAATTCCTCATTAACGTAAGAGCATCTGGTGGTCTTCCATGTTTACCTCCATTATCCAAGCCACTAGAAGAAGGAAGAGTCACTTGCTGATCATTAACCACATGAGACGTCTTCCTCTGGAATTTAGATAAAGAAGGGTGCAAGACAATTTGTCTATCTTGGAAATCCTCCGACATATTCTTCTGAGAATCAAGTTTAAAATTATTCTTTTGAGATTCTGCACCTTTTGAAGCATTTAATCTGCCTTTGCTAATATTAGCATTCTGGACCAGCTGATGAACTTTAGCAGATGATGCAGTTGCTTTCTTCTTTTGGTTCTCTTTGAATTTTACTCCTTGACTTTGGACCTCTTTTCTCGACTTGCCCGCGGATAGGTTAGCAGATGGAGAAACTGTTTCCATTTGAATATTCTTTTTCACCAACGGTTCTTCATTATGAGCAATTAATTCCCCATGATTAATTCGTGTCAGACCAGTTCAATGCTGATTGAATCAATCACTGGAGAATCAGAAATAATTAAGATATTATTATCCTTTTGAGCCAACTCAGCAATAGCTTGAAATCTTGAACCTGATTGAATGACCTGTCTGTGATTAGGATGAGAATTGGAAACTGCCTTATTACGTAACGCTGCATTATTAACAACGCCAACTTGTCTCCTACCCGATGGTAATGATTCCTCCTTTGATTGTGCTATGCTCCTTGATTCCTCCTTTGATTGTGCTATGCTCCTTGATTCCTCCTTTGGTTGTGCTATGCTCCTTGATCGACGGTTACGCTGCACTAGCATCCAATTCCCAAACGGTTCCTCCTTTGCCAGAACAGAATCTTTTTCCGGCTGCTTATGCACCACCGAGTCAGAAACTTCAGGAGAATAAGCCGTAGTATCTTGTTGAAGATTACTATGGGAACACTGATCCCTTCTATGCCCATACTTTCCACAAGCAAAACAAACTAAGTGGAGACCCTCATATCCAACATGGAAGATACGATCAGCAATCCGAAATTTGGACAAAAAGCCTTTCCTAAGATCAACTTCGACACAAATTCTAGGAAACTTTGCTTTCTCTGTAATATCACCTTCACCAGAATCACGTTTCCTGATAGAGTTCCTATCAATCTTCAATGTGCGACCAAAAATACTACCTATATTCCACAAATGATGAGAGGTATAGAATTCAACAGGAAGTCCTGGAATACGAATCCAAACTGCCAGCTTTCTGATCTCATCATCATAAGGATTAAAAAATGGACGCCACCGTTGAACTACCACATAATGATCAGCTATGATCCAAGGACCATCCTCCAAAACATGAGAGTAATCATTCTTATTTGAAAATCGGAACAAAAAGTAGTCATTCTCCATATCAATGAACTCATATGTGCCTGAGATATTCCACATTCTCAGTAAACGATTGAGTAAGAATCTAACTCCAACTTTCTTCCCCAGAAGTTTCACAATCACTGCCTGTCTCCAAGGTCTGCAACCTTCTAAATGCAAGGCTTTTGGAAAAGAGTACGTTGGGCAAAGAGGATCCTCCTCACCATCAACCGTAACAAACACCTCATCCCCTTCTTCTTCGTCCTCTTCCTTACGTAGTTTTTCTACCCAATCTTCCTCATCGCTATCAGCAACATGGGGTCCTCCATTAAAACCAAGAAGAGAATCTTTATATGACACCAATTTCCTGTTAGATGAATCACCTGACTCTTCCTTCTTTTTTTCCCCGTTGCTAGTCACATTCACCTGGATATCCTCCTCTGCCATGTGATCATCCATAGGTTGATCTTCCATAGCAGGGCCTTTAGGTTTTTTTGTGCTTCGATAGAGAAGATCTTCCTCCTCCGTCGTAGCATCTCTCGCCTCCTTGCCGGTCTCTCTCTCTTCACTCATCTCTCTTAACTTTATAGTGTCTTCTTTCTTTTCTATTAAAAAGATACATATAACTTTCCTGTGACTCTCCAAATCAAGTTGTAATTCTGATATGTGAAACAAATTTCAAATAAACATCAAATTCATTTTTGTGAAAAGGGTTTTGTTCTTTCTCTTTTAAAATTAAACAAGAAGCTGGTCATTATGATTCGTTTTGTCAATAGCCAATTATCATAATATTTATGATGTCATTATATTAGTTTTTTAGAAAAAAAATAGTCATCAAATTTGTATTGATATTTATGAAAGACTAAACTGATAACACAAAAAAGATTAATTTAATAATTGATTTTTTATATTTAAGAATAATTTTTTTGGAGATTTAATATCGTGAGAAGTTTTTTTAAAAAAAAAATAAGTTGAGAGTTTACTTTTTTTTTTCCCTTCCCGTTCAAAGTTTAGAAAACTTATTTTGTCTCTTTTTCTATCGTAACATTAGAGAAAGAATATGAGAAGAATTGAATTTAAACGCTGAATTACATGTTGCCTCCATGAAGCACGAAGATGTAACCAATACAATTCTTCGGAGGATGAGTGAACGCAGCCTCTCGGCAAATGAGAGAGGCAAAGGAAGAAAGCAATTATTAATTCATAACTAATTATGGGTAATTTAGCGCAATGGATTTTTGAAAACAGAATTTGTTGTATATTATTATTTTTAAATATTTTTTCAAAAGTTAAAGTTATTTTTTGTTTTGATTAAATACATGAACAGAAATTATTTGAATATTAAAATTAATAAACATATTGATGTATAAAATTGCTAAAAAAAGAACAAACGTTTGTTAATTGCTAAAAAGAACAAACACATATAACTTTTAATTATTACAAATTAACATAAAATATTTCACATTGAAATACAGATTTATCTTAAACCAGTCCTAATTTTGCTAAGCTCTATATAGATTTGTATCTTAAAATGCATTTTCTTTTACAGTGTGGTATTTGTGGAGCCTCAAAGAAGATCTTGCAATATAAAATAATTATAGTACAAGCCACATAAAAAATGTGCACCATAGTGTAAGCGAAACAGCAGCACAAGAGTAAGTTGCTAACATGATAACTGAGCATTCACCTTCACCAGCTCCAAATAATTGAGTAAACGTACCTGGCACAGTCATTAAATAAATATATTTTGCAGAGGAAAAATGTTAAGATTTGTAGCGACAGAAAGTGAATAGTTATGTATGAATATGAAGTTGTTATTAGTTTTTTAGTTTGATAAGGTGGAATGATGTGAGACTTCGTCGCATTTGAATATACCAACAAAATTTATGCATACTACATGTGGACAGATATTTGAAGACAAATTAATAAGTGTGCATAGGGAACATATAAATTTTCAAAGTGAATATATTATTTATCCTATGTTTATTGGGAATAATTTATTCAGTCATAATTAATAATGGTCAACTTACTTATATTTACCGCAGGTGGAAGGGCAAATTGAAGAAGTAAAAGAAATTGATACAAAGGATCAGGGTGGATCAAGCCAAAATGAATGGCACCTTTAATAATGCCTATTCCTATTGCTGGCAAGGCAATGAATCTAACCGAAGTAATGCCAACAACAAGTGGAAGCTGCTTTCTTATTCCTTTTAAACCTGAAAAAAGCATCACATTCATATTCAAATGTAACTACTAAATTGAACTCAACCAAAGAGATTAATGACAAATTTGAAAAATTCATTTTATTGGCTTACCCTTAATTAGATTTGCCCCCACTAATAAGGTCATTGCTGGAATGCCTGCATCTCTGAATATAAGGGAAAATAAAAAAATAAAAAAAACGATCAAATAAAGGATTAATGTTTTTCTTGTAACGTAAGATAAAGTTATTTCCTATAACTTTAAAACAACTCGTTTTGAAGGTTTAAGAAAAAAAATGTAGAGTAATTTAGTAAAATTACATGATTCAAAAGGAAAGTAAAATAAGTAATTTTCTAAATCCTCAAAATGATATCATTTTGAATTTGCAGGAGATAATTTTATCTAATGTCACATGAGAATCATTTTTTCCATCAAATAAAGTATCTTTCAGGTTTTTTTTTTTAATATTTTTTTTGTTAATCTAATAACCAAACGTGGGTGCAGAGGATTGAGGTTACTTACCCAAGCATGACTACAGAGTCCTGAACCACATGGAGAGGAGCATTGTTACCAACTAATAGTTTTCGAAATTGAGGGACTATACCAATTGTTAAACCAACAATCTGCATGCACATAAGGAGAAGACGAAATATCCTTGTTGAGAATAACTAATAAAGCTTCAATGTAACTTACTTGTCATAAGCAGCATCTAATATGGTTAACATATCAACATATATATAAAGAGTTGTGATATGCAGATTTTAGAGTTGAACAGGAGACTATTTAAGTGTTGTAATTTTTATTTAGCATACCTCATTCAAAACTTAGTTCCCACTCTATGGAATGAGTTGAATGAAAATAATAAGAAGGCTACTGAGAAAAATAAGAGAATTTTTTTATGTACCGTTGCAATCGTGGCAGGTGCAAATAGTACCTTCAGGTTGATCTTTTCAGCTAATATTTTCAGCTGTTTCATAATCTTTTCCTTTTTGGGTACCTGTAAAACTCTTGAAAATGTAAGATCATAACCTCTTTATTTTTTACATTTTAACAGGAACAGTGCTTCTCACTCCTCATCACTAGAGGTGAAAGTGGGCTGGGCTGGGCCAAGCTTTGCTCTGAAAAGTCTAAGCCTACGTCAAAAAATTTCAATTTGGTCTGGCCTAAGCCTATTACAAGTATAACTGTTAGCCTGACTTAACTCATTTATAAAAAATCAAATGGCCTGGCCTAGCCCATTAGCCTATTAATTTTTAACTTCCAAACAGAACAATAAATCCACTTTACAAAATACTCAAATTCTATTACTAAACCAAAAATTATAATTTCAACGTCCAAACATAATCATGAATCACAACAAAACTCATACAATCTGCATTTAAGTCACTTTCAAAAGCAAAATGCTCAAATTAAATAACATATATTTCATCAAATCCAACAAACAAATCCATACTATATAAATTAAAATAATTACAAACACATAATGATGCTTGTAGTAAGTATAACCTCTCCCAAAAACCTTATAATATATTCATATACACAATTTAACATGCTGATATGTTGGTTCCTTCTACATAAGAAATAAAGTTAGATTTCTATTAAAATATAATCGAATATAATTAAGTTATAAATAATTATAATTGATTAAATTTATATCTTTATTTTTCTTCAAGGCATATTTATTCTATTTAATTTAATTTAAAATAAATAGTACAATATAAGCCGGCCTGTAGGCTTATAGGCCAGGCCTAGTAAAAGTGGGCCTATGGCCTTTTTATAAAACAAGCTCTTTCAAGGCCCAAGTTCAGCCTATTTTACGAAATTTACTAGGTCAGGTCTGGCCTGATGTAGGCCGAGCCATAGGCCCTTGTGGGCCGGCCCGGCCCAGTTTCACCCCTACTCATCATAGAGTGAAATGCATTAGTGTATGAAGGTATGCCATTTTTAAATCCCATTATCTCTTCAACTTGATAAAACATTTTGCATATTGGTAAATTGTCAGACGAGTTCAAGTGAAGCCCGTGGCGTGAGATCACTACCAATGGGTTAAGCTAAACCAACCACATCAAATTAGTCTGACACCATATCTCAATCTAAAATCTTAAAGCATTAGGTTCATGGGTCCCCCCACTTATATACACAACTTAGTCCATTACCAACTAATGTGAAATTTATCACACTTGAATATTCCAACAATTTCTCCTTCAAGTGTGAAATTCAACATTGGTATGCTTCTCCCAACTTCGAGTACCCCAGGGCCTAAGTACTCAACCGCCTCTAGCCAATCACCAAGCTAGCTTGAGCTCAACCGGGCTTTGATACCACTGTCAGGCGGATCCAAGGGGAGCTCGTGGCAGGAGACCGATGGGCTAAACTAAACCAACCACATCAAGTGGGTCCGATGTAAGAACCCGCACCGTTAATTAAGGAAGTTAATTACTTAATTATGAGAAATTAGAAAATAATTCCATAATTGACCCTAATAATTATTATGAAGCTTAAATAAATATAGAAAGTGATTGAGAATGCTGAAAGTCACTTTTCGGACGAATGTGGATACCAGTTCTGCTACTCGGTATAATTGCGTACCGATGAAGTATCCCGGAAAATTATAAAAAGTTTGTATATGTCACTAGAATAATATATAGGACTTGTAAAACAAGTTTCAAGTCAAAATAATGAGAACTTGTGCCAGAACTGATACTGGCTATGGAAAAGCGCGTACCAGAAAGGTGCTGTGAAAAATTAAATAAAAATATGATAAATCTTAGAAAAATGAGTAGGTTCAGATTCTAAAGTTTGGGATTGAAATGCTAAGCGTAGCATTTAGCGCTAATACTGTGTGCTTAAGGCTTAAAACACTATAAATACATTAGTTGGCCCAAAACCCTAGGCCATAACAGATATCCTACGTGCTTGTGGTGGCTGACCAGCTCTCTTTCACTGTTCCATTGTGGTTCTCCCCTTCTCCATCACCTTGTGAGCCAAGAAGACATCTTTCTTCTTGGTTTCTTCATCAAACACTTAGTGTAGTGTATTGTGAGTGGGGAGGGTGCATCATTCTGAGTTTTGGCACTGCCTTGTGAGGTGTGAGGGACTGAGTTTCTGGTTTTGGGATTGTGGTGTCATAGTCTTGGTGCTTGGTGATCCAAGAAGCAACCTTTGGAGAGGAAAGACCTTATGTGTGCACCATTTTCGTGTCCTTGTGTGTGCTGGACTTTGGGAGCTTCAAGTGAGCTCCAAGAGCACCTTGTGCTTCTGTTTGAAGCTTGGGTAAGTTGTACCAACCATGGTCATGAGTTTTAATGCTTAAAAATGGAACCTTGATGCATGTTATGATCTAAAGTTGATAACTTGGGGTTGGGTAATGTTAAACACACCTTAATCCGCATGTTTAAGCTTCTGTATGCATGAAATGAACCACCTTTGAGAAGGATATCTCGCAAAATGCAGAACTGCATTCTGTCGCGAAATATTCGGATATGGATATCCGGATATAGATATCCGGATATGATATCCGGATATGATCTCCGGATATGATATCCGGATATGATCTCCGGATATTGATATCCGGATATGGGGATCTGAATATCCGGATATTGGCAGAGAGATATCCGGATATGCCCCCGACAAATATCCGGATATTCTGGGTTTTCGTGAACAGTGAAGGTACTGTTCATACAGAATGATATTTTGGGTTTGTGGACCCTAGACTGGTTAAGTTGAGCTTCTGTATTGATTAGTTAAGTCAGAATCTAAGTGATTAATGGCTTGTGGCTTTGTGAGAAGCCTAAAGACATGAAATGTAAAGGAAAGACGTTGTCCTTGTGTCTTATACTTGTTGAGTATGATTTTGATATGATTGTTGGTCCAAAACAGATTGTGATTCTGTTGTGTTTGGGCTTTGAGATTGGTTGGACTCTTGGCTTGGATTGTTAGCTTGCAAGGTAAGCTTTCGTGTCCTTGGTTTAGCCATTGTTGGTTCCATCATGTCCCATGGGGGTAGTGTTATATGCATGATGTTGTTTTCATGATATATTGATTTGTGAAATGTTGTTGAGCTGTTATATGCGAGTGCCTTTATGATATGCATGTGGTGTTCCACCTATACGGTAAGCCTGAGTATGTGGTACATACAAGAGGGTGAAGCTGTGGGTGAGGTGCAAGCGGTGTTCCTTGTACTTATTGTGGGATTGTAGACGTACGTTCTTCATTTCTCTAGCCAGTAGAATAGTTAAAACACACATAGCATGAATATCTGTTGCACTGCATAGTTTTGGAACTTATACTGTTAAATTCTTTTGAACTTATATTGCTCGTATAAGTGAGCTTGGGGTGGAAGATCCTTGACGACCCCTTGTCTTACTGAGATTTATTTTTAAATATCTCACCCCACGTTTGGGGCACATATTTCAGGTTCAGGTAATGTGTGGGTTGAGACCTCTGGCGGCAGGAGGCCGGAGCTTAGCTGATTATATATGTTGTATGCTGAATGACTGGATATTGGATGTTGTTTATGTTTTCTGTCTTTAGATTGATATTTGAGTTGAGACTCTTTTTGGATTTGTTGCCTTATTTGGTGAACATGGGGTTTGTCCATGCCACATTGATGTTAGTACTTCCAACTTGAGTTGTATAAACTATCAGGGTTGTCCGGTCTACGTGTTGTAGTTTCGTGACTAGAGACATAATGATGTTATTTATATTATGAGGTATTTCAGTTAGCTGTCTTTTGCAATTTTCATACAGGCGATGTTTTATGAAATGAATTAAGTAATTCAACTTGGCTAATGATAATGACGTCATAATTGAACATAAAAAGATATTCTGCATTTTTAAATTAAGCGTGGCTTAATACGATGATATGATAACAAACCGGATATATACGGGGTGTTACATCCGACACCATGTCTCAACCTAAAATCTCAAGACATTGGATTTATGGGACCCCCCACTTATATACATTTTACTTAACTTATTACCAACTAATATGAAATTCATCACATTTGAATATTCCAACATAATACATAAGCAGCCAATCATTATTATGTATTGCATTCAACTCTAATCTAAACAATATAAGATTACAATTTAATAGGAACTAGCATTCTGAATTTAACATGAAAGATCTGTTAGTTGTGATGCCAAAACACAAAAAATACACTATCCGACGAATTGGAATTAATAAGGGGAACACTTGTTCTAAAAAAATATAACAATATTATGAAATTCAACAACCAACAAATGGAGTGTTAAAAATCCTTTTACGTAATTTCAAATAATTATCTTAAAAACAATTAAAATAAAAATCATAAAATTCTCACTGTAAACAAAAATAAGCCTAAAATTCAAAATATGATGTACGCATGACGATTCTAAGTTGATTTTTGGTAAATCATCATTTCCTAAGAAAAGATTCGTCTTCAAATTTTCTTCCTCTTCATTGATATCAACCACTATTATAAAATATTTATTTCGTTGTGTTCTTGGCAAACCCCAAGATAAAAACAATTAAGGGAGATATCATGTTGCAATTAGAATATGTCCATGCATATATAAACTTGCCCTTGGTTTTAGTCACATAACCCACCCCCCTTCTCTACAGATCGAGTCACATTACGCGTAAGTAGCAACCCAGGTGGTGTTTTTTCTGGTATTTTTTTTAAGGTATGTTGCTTCTGGTATTACATCAGCAAATTCCTTATGCCAGGGTAAAATCAATGAACACAACTTTTTGATTCGCTTGGCATGTTCACTTGTATTTGATTTTGTAGAGTAACAAGAGAAAAAAGGAACATTGGAATAAATTTGTGTGACATAACAACACAGCGGAGGCTATATTATACATTTCAACCCCAAAATTTAAGCTATTGGGTGATGGTCTTCTTAATGATTTATATTATACTCTAATACGCCCCCCACATGAGAGTCTACTAGGTTTGAAAGATGGATAATGCACTGTCTCATCTACATTTGCTAAGAAACTCCACAAAACTT